GATTTCCTCCATCTAGGTTTGTTACAGGCATGCACCGTTACCTCAGCAGTATCAATAGACTGCCTCTGACGGCATGTTAGGTCATCCCAAGTCTCTTCTCTTTTGATAAATAGAAATATATATATATATTTTTAATCCTCACGGTTGCTAATATTTTTTCATACAGTGGAGTGGCTCGTTTGGTTCAAAATCACTAATAAAATTGTTAGGATTTTTAATATGCTTGTTACAATACTTTCCTTTTAAGTGTTAAGGTTCATGTTTTTCAAATTAATTAGGACAAGATTTGGGAATAAAATGGGAGCATATGCCCTGAGTGGATTATTCTTATCAGAGCTCTGTCACTGTGCATTCTGAGTGTCCTTGTTTAAGAACACTGTATTATTTTTAAATGGCTGGGGCCAATGATGTCTCCTCATTTAACAAACATGTGCATAATAAAATGATGTGATGATGTGGCAGGCTGTGCGTATAAAATGCTTCTTTAACTGGTATTCAGGACCGCCTTTCTGAAGAAGCCAGCCTGGTGGTAATCGCTGGCATCCTTAACCTGAGCCATTTCTCTGATCACAGTATAATGACAATTTCGGTCAAAATTTGTCATAGTAATTTAATACATAAATCTTATAAAGTGTTACTCAAAGTGTTTTTTTCAAGTGACCTATTCTCAGGAAAGAATCAGGGATAAAAAGCTTAAAGATGTAAACAGACCTTCCTTTACAGAATGCAGAACTCTTCTTTTTGAAGGCCTCAAAGATCTCAGTAGAGATCCCTGTTTTTTTTTGCTTTCAGCGCTGACTTTGACTGATTCCATATTTATTGAGGTGCTTTAAAAGACAAAGTGGGAAAAACTTAGCTGCAGTCTGCTTGATAAATGCAGTAGTTTTGAATCCAACAGAAAATTAAAGTATTGATTATGTATTAAAGTTTTTGCACCATTATTACTTGATTTTTATCCCAAAGAGGGTGAAGTTCATGCTATAGTTTGAGGTGTTTTTGTTTTTTTCCCCACTGAAAAACGGGACTTCACTTAACAGCTGTTCTATCTTTAAGTATAAAATGATAATAACAGTAAAATGATGAATCTGTTCCTACACATTTTACTCATAATGAACAACGATGCCAATAAAGTGAAAGTTCTGTCTATAATTAAATGGACGTGATGCTTAATAAGAGGGATTGACATTGATATAAACATGGAGATCCCCTTGGAACTAATGCTGTGAAGGAAAGACAAATCAGATCATTTAGGTTGAGTGAAATATTTAGGACAGGAAAGGCTGTTAAATTTGACTGACGCTACTGAGACTTGGAGACCTGAAACTCACACAAGAAAAGCACAAGCTGAGGTAAACAACAGCGGGACTGATTCTCAGAGAGCAGAGAGGAAGAGAGCTACAATGTCCGGCATCAGCATCATCCCTACTTACCAGTGGTGGCTCACTGTCGCACTGCTTACTCTTTTCTGTTCATCTTTACCTTTCAACCAGATCATACAGTCACATTGATTAAAAGTTTTCTATCTAACGAAAACCAGATGATTGCATCAAGATGCAATCCCTCACACCAAGCATGCTTGTAGTGACAGTGGAGAGGAAAAACTCCCTTTTAACAAGAAGAAACCTCAAGCAGCACCAGACTCGGTGTGACTCACTTTCAAAAGGACTTAGATGTTTAGAAACATCTGGAAACTCTAGCCTGCTGTTTTAAAATATAAAATCAGCTGAATACATTAAATATTTTCTGTATGCTTGTTTGGAACATGTAAATATACCAATACCTGCTCTAAGAATCTTGTTCTGCAGATAAACCCCTCTTGATTGCAGTACGACTGACACGGCTTATTTCCTTGTCTGCAAAGCAGCATGAACTCCTAATGTTCAGATCCAAACAAGGTTGTTTTTAGATTTCTCCTCTACCACAGAGTAACAGTTGGTTTCCGTCTGCAGTTTGGGAATAGAAAGATTTAAAAGGCAAATTTGACGTTTGACGATCCCGGACTGCACATATGATGGCAGATTTGAAAGAAAGGGATTTTAGAAAATAAAACATATACAGTAAGAAGATCAATAGACATGACTGTTCACCAAAGCTGACAGCATTAATCAGAGAAAAAGCTAAGAGGCCTGCAGTAATCCTGCTCACATAATGTCACTTGTTGGACAGAAGGGAAGAGGCTATAAGCATTAGAAAACTAAAACCACACATCTTAAATGTCATTCCTTCATTGAAGCACAGTGGTGGTAGCATCATACTGTCGGGATGCTTTTCTTCATATTGTACAGAAGGATGTGTTGATCTCACACCTAAGGAGAATTTAGAGAAGCCAATTTACCTGACATTGATGTTTTTGGACTTTTGGAGGAAGCTGGATGGAAACCAGGCATGCACAGGGAGTCATGCAAACTCTATGCAGAAAGACGCCGGGCCGGAATCAAACCCTGATTCCTCTTGCTGCAAGGCAGCAGTGCTACCCACTGCAGCATTCTGCAGCCCGCGAGTCTGACATATTTGAAAAATTGCAAATCTTCCTTTGGAAAGTATCCTTATATCAGAGATGCAAAAAGCAGCTTTTAAACAGAGTGTGCATGAGGAGAAACAGGCCCCATAAAATCACCACAAAACATAACATGCAATGTGACAATGTAAAGAGGTTGACAGGGTGTGAATACTTTTCTCAGTCACGGCCAATAGGAACAGCTCTAAATTCCCCCATAGTTTTAAGTGATATTTAATTCATTTAAATAAGTGAAATGCTCCCCTGTTAACTCTTAACCTGAACTAAATCCATCAGAATCGTATTTTGCATTTCAAACGCTCTGCATTGCTCGCTCGTGTTTTTCATTGGAGTGTCTTGATTTTCTTTTGCTCCATCTTCACTCTTCAATAAATCTTTTCCTTTCTGCAAAAGCTTCTCCCCTCTCTCTTCCCGGTCTTCAAATCCCCTCCACTCACACAAATAAATCTCCTCCCCTACCTTCCTAAAGCAATGAAGCACACACATCAACATACAAGTGCACAGAGTTGCACTTTTACCCACACAGACACACACACAGCCCTCCAGGCAGCAGCCACAAAGGCCTTATATTAATAAATCTGCTGCTTTATTGGTGCTGAGTGTCTCTGGAAGAGAGACAGGCAGAACGACGGCGAGGAGAGGAGAGGAGAGGAGAGGAGA